CAGCTGGTCTGCCATCCTCAAAGTCCATCAGTTTAAATACTGAGCTTCAGAATATAGTTGGACATAAAATTTGGGCACCGTGTTCCAGCCAAGTTGAACAAATGAATTAGCCAGCGAGACCCCAAGCCAGAACTCTCTAGATAAGCTGCTTCCAGATTCTGATTCTCAGAAACTGTGGGACTAAAACATTACTTTAAGCCTCTGAACTTTAATGTTTTCTCAGAAATAGACTGCTACTTCTCACTTAGTTAACCCATTCTGGCTTTTAGACCACCTGTTTCTATTGTCTGGTTTTTCTTGATTTATTTGCATTTTCTGTTTATTAATATGTCTAGTGATTTATTTAATATGCCTTATATTGTAGGGAGTCTGGGTATTGCTTTCCTCTAAAGGGTAAAACTCAGAAAACCCTATCTTAAAATTCTTGGGTCTGGAAAGATGGCCAGTGGTTAAGAGCATTGGCTGCTTTTTGAGAGGGCCCAGCACCAACATGACAGCTTACAACCATTTGTAACTTGAATCCTAGGGGCTCCACTGCCATCTTTGGGCTGTGCAGGCATTGCATACACAGGGTGCATAGCCGTACAGGCCGACAAACGCCCGTGCATGAAAACACTTGGCCTTGTGATTTTATCTAAGTTTATAGTTGTTTGCCACAGGACGGCTGGTCTGGTATCAGTTACTTCTCTTTGCCTAGAAAGGGAAGCCTTGCCTATGAATTTTGAAACCGTATTTTATAGCCTATGACTTGATCACTATTGTGGCTTGGCCTTCAGTCTATGTATTATAATTATTGGTAGAATCTCAGCTTCAGGCTCTGCCTCGTGGCTCCTTTGCTGGCTGTTACTCTCCCATGACTTAAAAACATTTCTCTTTCATACAGCGGTGCTTAATTACTAGTTGAGCGGTGAAATGGTCTCACCTACAGCAGTAGCTGGAGTGACTCCCCTCAGAGACCCAGCCGTCCTGCACTGTCGCACCAGTGACTTGAACACGTCTGTCCCAGAGGCCTCAGGCTCATTTTCATCTCCCGAGCGCTGTATCTTCAGGTGGAGGTTTCTGAGTTGTGCGCTCTCTCTCTCTCTCTCTCTCTCTTTTTTTCCTGGAAAACTTGAAACAATTCCTGCCTGTTGTCTTCCCGCTGTAACTACTTCTGTGTTGTACACGTGAACAACTCAGGCAGGCTCGTTTATTAGCATTCTCGATTTAGTCAATAGCTGGCAAGTCAAGTACTCTTGTCCCTTCTTCTAGGAAAGAAACAGGACGTCCTCAGAACGCAGCAGCGCCACAGAGTCCTCGCTAGCACACTCTCTTCCTGACTGCTGACCACTGTCATTCCTTTTATAGAAGCCATTTATTGTTTTTCCTTGTAATTTTATCACTTAATATATTTCCAAACAGCTTTATCTCTTTTGCAATTTTATATAAATTCATTCACAAAATGGTGTCTCTTTGCCTTGCTGCTTTTTCTCAGTGTGTTTTTAGAGACTCTGCGTTACCACACACAGATATGGTTATAGTTCCTTCCTGGTGCCATGTGGTGCTCTACTGTGTTTGGGTTTTTAGGGGTGCTACTGCAGGCACCACAACCTACTCGCGTCTACCGACAGAACTACACTGGCTCATAGCTGAGTAAGTCACAGAGTCCAAGCTGCAGGTGGAATGGACCCGGGTGTGGTGCATGTGGAGATCTCTCCGAGACGTCAGTGCTGGGGATGCTGAAAAGTGTTATCAGCAGTGGGAGGATGGGGAAGAGGAAACTTTGCTGGCAGCCAGCTTCCATGCGACAGAGAGATGGTTCTGGATACTGGAAGGAGTGACAGAGGAGAGAGGAACACCCACACTCCTCCTGGGCACAGGCAGAGGTCATCCAGAGCACAGGTGCCACCTTTCCTCCTTCCATTGATGGGCTGGTGTTCTGGTCTGTGTGACTTTACCTTGAAGGGGATGCGAGACTAGGTGCACCTCAGTCAGATTAACCCTGAAGTATGGTTCCAGACAAAATATTTTTCTAGAAATCAGCCTGCTTATGTGCAGGGTGAGTGGAATCTGCCCGGAAGGTAAGCCAGCCAGAAGGACAGACACAGGATGCCAGACCTTCTCATCCTGTCCTAGCCATGGGCCATCTGTGGAGCCAAGGGAAAACAGTATTTCCTTCTAAGGAGATTGTCGAGTCTCTAGGAAAGGAGCTGAAGCCACTGTCAGCTGGAGCACAGAGCACAAGGCCTCTCAGCAAGGCTGCTGGGGAAGTCATGACCTGGCTGGGTTTACCCAGTATCAATGCTGCCAGTCACCTGAGCAAGTGAGGAGAAAGGGCTCTGATTCCTTAGGATCAAGGCTGTGTAGGCATCTCTCACTCTGAGGCCCCTCTCTTTGTCAGCACATGGCCTCCTCCTGAATACGTGTGTGTCCTAACCTTTTAATGAGAACATTGGTGATACTGGGGTAGGGCAGACTCATGTGACCTCATTGTATCTTTTTAAAAACCCCTGTCACCAAGTGCAGTCACATTCCAAAGGACTTGGAGTTAGGACTTCAGCATAAGAATATTTGAGGACATGGTTCTTCTGATAATTAGGACTAATTATTCAAGCATTATCTTTTCCTCCACACCTTTGTGGTGTGTGGTGTGTGTGTCATGTGTTGCATGCATGTGGACCTGTGTGCAGGAGTGCTGTGCACACGCCTCTGGAGACCAGATCAGTGCCGGGGTCCTCATCTCTCACTCCTGTCTCTACAAACCTGGGCTCATTGACTGAGTAGATTTGCTGGACAATGAGCCTTCAGGACCCCGGTTTTGCCCCCACTTTAGGACCCCAGTTCTGGCCCCGCCGGCAGGACCCAGGTTCTGCCCCCTCCTCCAGGACCCCGGTTCTGCCCCCCCTCCAGGACCTTGGTTCTGCCCCCCTCTCTTTCAGGACCCTGGTTCTGCCTCCCAGTTCTGCCTTCTTTCCAGTCCAGGAATTAAGGATTCCATGTGTTCACTTCCAGATTTTGATGTGTGTGCTAGAGATCCAAACTCAGGTCCTGAAGATTCAACACCAAGCCGTGTACCTGCTGAACCATCTCTCCAGCCCCAGTCCTCCTCTTTAAAAAACATCTATGTTGAGAATTCTCCCTAAGATCATGAACTATTTTCCTAGTTCTTTTCTAAAATGCTTATAATTTTACATTTATTTTACTTGTAATGTATTGGCACTGATTTTTGTACATAGTATGAGGGGAAACTGGATCTCCTTCTCCCCGAGGACAGACTTAACATTTCCGTATTGCCTGACCCACCTGTTATAACCTGGAGTCGGATGTCCCCCACTCCTGTTTCTGTCCGCTGATGTGTTTGTCCCCACAGCGTCCCACTGGCAGAAACTGTGGCTTTGCAGGCCGTCTTGTAAACCGTTAGCAGCGATTCTTCCACCTTGCGGTTCCTCTAGAACACCTCGGTGGTGCTTGGTTCTTCCCGTATGCATTCGCGTTGTAGAATCTGCCAGGAGATTCTGTAAATAGACCTTTTCGAACATTCGTGGGCATGCTTTGATGTTGTGAATTGGGGAAAGAATTGTGTCATGAAAGAAAAAAAAAACAGACTTGTAGGGTCTGACTTGAATGGGAGTCGCGGATGAGACAGGGTGTGAGTGCAGGATGTGATGGTTAGCAGCCACGAGGCTGGGCAGACAGGGAGAGTCACCTTGAGTTGTGATTCAGCTACTGCTTAGGTCCTGCTGCTGTCTTTCCAAGTTAGTGAAGAATATGGATCTGTCTTTGTTCTCAGGAGATGCTGCTCATGAGCATGTGGGTATGATGTTACCTGCACCCAGCTCGCAATTCACGAGTGTCCGTGGAGGGAGAAGTAGGAAGCTAGAGCAGTGTTACTAGCAACCAGTGGATTAAAATAACAGTTGAGGAAAATTAAACCTTTTGTATCTTAGGGAACAGAGACCAAGGCAAACCTGCTATGGTCTGTCATAGCGCCTGTTCAAGCAGGTCTGCCACCAAGTGCCGCAGTAAAATGCCAAGTAGCTCAGTAGGGAGCCCCATGAGCACCAGCACTGGGGGAAACCGTGGTGGCAGCAAGTGGCGCAGGACTAACTTTCTAAGTAGCAGCTTCGCTAATGAGCTGTCTGTGCTCACTGCTAATTCCTCGGAGCCTCTTGGACCCACTGGGAGGGTTCCATAAATCTGTCATTCTAACACGGGAGCCGAGCCACTTATAGGAGTTACTTCGTTCAGTTGTATTTGATAAAGTAGGCCAAACCATTTTTCAATCGTAAAATGAATTTTATGTGTATAGTATTTTGTCAGCATGTATTATATATACCAAATGCATGCAGTGTCTGTGGAACCCAGAATATGGTGTCAGATCCTCTGGAACTGGAGATAGTTACAGATGGTGTGAGCCCCCGGTGGGTGCTGGGAACTGAACTCAGTTCTTCTGCAAAGAGCAGCAGGTGCTCTAGACTGCTGAGCTGCGCCCCCCCCACCATGATTTACTCAGAAGCAGTTCTGGCATTTGAATACAGTGTTTGTCTATCATGGAGAGCTCAGGTCTTCAGTTCTCATAGCAGGCCTTGGATCTGTAAGGAGAATGAAGTCCCTGAACTTCTCAGTGGCGACATAGAGAGGAGAATGCCTCTGCATTGAGCGGCAGATCCAAGTGCTGGGGGACTATCCAGATCACTGGGGAACTATCCGGAGCGCTGGGGGACTATCCGGAGCACAGGGGGGACTATCCGGAGCACTGGGAGAATATCTGGAGCACAGGGGGACTATCCAGAGCACTGTGGGGGACTATCCGGAGCGCTGGGGGACTATCCGGAGCACTGGAGGAATATCTGGAGCACAGGGGACTATGCAGAGCACTGGAGCGCTGGGGGACTGTCCAGAGTGCTTGGGGCTCACCATCTCTGACTCTTCTTCATAATGCTCTCTTGGCCTGGATGTTGTATGGGATTCCTCAGCAAAATGATCTGTAAATTTACACAAACCATTTTGTCTTCCAACAGCAAAAGGAAGAGCCGAGCTTCTGAAGATCAGCCTTCGGGAGGTGGAGCTGGATCCTGACATTCGCCTGGAGGACATTGCAGACAAGATTGAGGGCTATTCCGGCGCCGACATAACTAATGTCTGCAGGTGTGTCTTTGTGACCTGTGACCCTGGCGTCAGCTTTAGTGTTATAGGACAGCTGGTCTCTAGGTCAGTGGAAGAGTCCCAGACAGAGGGCAGCAGCCCATTCCCTTGAGAGGCTTTCCTGCTGGTGCACTGGCTTCTTCTTTTCAATGAGCTTTACTTTCTTCTACAAAAAAAAAATACTTTTGAGGCTATAATATAATTACATTATTCTCCCTTTTTTCTTCTTCCCCAGTGACTGCCAAAGCGTGAACTATCTAACAGTAGACATGGCAATAAGAAGGTAGCCAAGCTCAGGAGGCCTCAACCCTAGACAAGGAACTGTAGGCAAAGGAATGCTAAGAGCAGGAGAAACCATCTTCCCCATGGAGCAGCCGCCAGCAAGTTATCCAGTGCCACATGGTCAGCCCTGAAAACACACATCCACCTAATAGTATACGGAAGTTGTCCCCTTAACACATGCCTTCATTGGTTGTTAGACAATGATTTTTGCTTTCTTCTGCTCTTGATACCAGATCCTCTGTTGCCCAGAGTATAAATTCATGGTCCTCCTGCCTCTGTCTCAGGAGTGCTAGGGTTACAGATGCTCACTTAGGGTTTGGGATTTTCCCCCTTGTGGCACTGGGCACAAACATAGGGTGTTGTACATGCCGGGCAAGCGCTCTCCACCGATGAACTCCAGCCCCGCTCCTCACTTAGACTTTTATTATCCCGAGAACCGCTGTGTCTTACTTGGCAATAACAGCCGAGCAGCCTCTGGCTAGTTAACTTGTTGGAGCCCAGCTATACGGATGGAGGCAATGTTGTGTGCTTTATCGGGCAAATTTGAACCACATGCAGATGAATGAAGTTGGCCCGTTTCATCGGTGCAAGAAACACACGTTTTCTTTCTCTTTCACTTTAGGGTTTCATAATTTTTAGACACATCACCCGATAAAGAGAATTTTATGTTCTTATTTGGAGAAGTCTGCGTAACTGGTCTCAGCAGCCTTCCCTGGAAGCGTTGGCGCTTGCCTGTTTTTCTCATGTTTTCTGCTAGTGTTTTTCTAGGTGTGTCTGAGTCCAAAGGCCCAACGCCCACTGTAGTTTTCACAGTCTCTAGTAAAACCTGGCAATCCTGAAGGTGTGGCTGGCTTGTCCTCCCAAGTAGGTCTTGATGAGAACCTAGCCATTTCTTCGAAACCTTCTTTTATATTTATAGTTGGGCAAAGGGGCTGAATGAAGTCAGAAGCCCGAGTTTCTACTGTTGGCTTCCCACAAACATCCATGTAGGGAGCTCTCTCCAGTATGTGGATATGTTCATGCCCTGCCTTTCATTCCTGCTGCTTGGGCTGTGGACTGACTCACACAGATCAAATTATTTTCACATTAGCCATATGCTCATTCCAAGTATGCAGCTCTGGATTCCAAAATTGGACTTCCTCTTCCTAAACTTCCTGGCTGTTTTAGAGGCACAGAGAAGGAAAGAGTACTGAGTGCTAGCTGAGTTTGCCCCAGGCTTCTGTGATAAATCTATCTTTTCCTGTCCTGTGTGTGCAGGAACATGAATGTGTCCAGATATCTGTGCACATGTGTGTACATGCATGTTGGAGGTCAGAGATCAATTTTGGGCTTTGTTTCTCAGGCGCTGGCCACCTGGTTTTTTGTATATGGTACATATGGGTTGGTTTCTTTTGCTTTTTCTTCTTTTGCAGGGTCTCACTGTGTATCTCTCGCTGGCTATGTAAACCAGGCTAGCCCTAAACTCATAAAGGTCTGCCTGCTTCTGTCTCCTGGTTACTGGGACTAAATGTGTGCCCTACCACACCTGGCCTTCCCCTGTTTTTGTTTGTTTGTTTGTTTGTTTTTTAAGACTGAGTCTCTCAGTGGCCTGAGGTTTGCGAAGTAGGCTAGGCTAGCTAGCTAACAAGTCCTATGGAAATCTGTTTCCACATCCCCAACCTTAAGATTACCAGCATGTGCCAATATACCCAGCATTTTGGGGGTGGGTGGGGATTGACCCCCTGGTCCTTTGTGCTTTCATAGCCTGCACAGTTCTAGCCGAGCCACCGCCCCAGCTGTGTATGAGTTTTTAACCTCTTCTGAAATTTCAGGACGAAGGGTGAATTTCTGAGTGGCATCATAGGAGCACGTATAAAATAGCCCTTGGCACGTTTGTCATAAGCTTGTTATAGCTAGACGTGTCGAGAGCATGTGCAGCCCGGCTACTGACTGCTCTGCCTGGTTCCAGGGACGCGTCTCTGATGGCCATGAGGCGGCGCATCAGCGGCCTGAGTCCGGAAGAGATCAGGGCCCTGTCCAAGGAGGAGTTGCAGATGCCTGTCACCAGAGGGGACTTTGAGCTGGCGCTGAAGAAAATTGCCAAGTCTGTCTCTGCCGCCGACTTGGAGAAGTACGAGAAGTGGATGGTTGAATTTGGATCTGCATGATTTTTGTCAGCTCTTTCATTTCTGGTATTTTTACCTATAAAGTGTGAAGAAATTCCTTAAATTTAAAAAAATCTGGAATTTTTCGTCAGAGAAAATTTCACTTAAACGCCAAAACAAAGCAAAATGTCTAGAGCTACAGAGAAAGGCAGTTGAGAGATGAGACGTCTGTAGAGTCCGCTGGCTTCGAGCTAACAAGCCTCGTCCTCATGCCACAGAGCTCGCAAGCCAGTGGGCGGGGCTGAGGGGTGGGGCTGTGCTGGAGGGCCTCGCTTACAGAGCCTTGGCAAAATGTTCTTGCTTACTTGCATTCATTGTCTGTTTTCCCAGTTCTTTGCTCTCTGATCATAAAAGACACATATGTGCACCAGGCGTGAGTGCACAGACACAAACAGACACACATAGACACACACACACACACACACACACACACACACATACACACACACACACACACACACAGCAAAACTCAGTTTCTGCCAAATTTATTAATTGTCATTTGAGAATGATAGATAGTAAATTCTGAAAGAAATAATGAATTTTAAATCTGTAGAACTTAATGCTTACTGTTAGGATCTAATATGTAGTTAGAATTTTCCCTTCTCTGCCAGTTCTTCTTAGCTGCTGGCTTCTGTCTATTGAGGAATAGTCTGATCTATGGTTTTTCCCTGGCATATAGTCATTTTTTTGTTAGTGCCTCTGCTATGTCATTTGGGAAGAATCTTACTTTGCTAGCAGTTGTCTTCACCCTACTCTCCAGAATTCTCACTTTTTTTCAATATGCTCAAATCAATAGAGCGATTGTTTCTTCTCACTTCCAACACTGCTTTTATGTTGAGTTTGACTTTCGTGTTTAAGATAAGTACCCTGAGTTCTAAACAAGTCTAGCCTCTAGGCTAATGCAAAACAAACATTTCCTTTTCTTCCGTATGCTAGTATTTTGCCAGTTTGTATGTGTTTACCACATGTGTTGTACTTCCTGAGGAGGCCAGAAGAGGGCATTGGATTCCCCTGGAATTGAAGTTACAGGCAGTTGTGAGTCACCATAAGGATGCTGGGAATAGAACCCAGATCCTCTTCAAAAGCACTCAGTGCTCTTAATTGCTGAGCCATCTCCCAACCCCACAAATAAAATCTCTTATGGTTCTCAGACAGCTTATTTTGCAAACAGAATACTAACAGTGAACAATACTCAATAATTAGAAAGTTTTCCTTCTAAGACCCTGTGTATGCAATGAGATTAGAATAATAATACGACATGCTCATTAGACATGGAATTAGACAGTAGGAAGACCTCAGAAAGGGAGCTGCATGGATCCAGTCACAAGTCCTGGGTCCTCAAGTTGATTCTCTGTAATTAATTATGTCCATCCATTTGGATCATCAGGCAATCCATGCTTCCATAGTCAACTTAAAAAGCGTGCCTGTGGTAAATCCTGAAACCTTGATTCTCACGCCTACTATTTTAAAACTATACACATCCCATAGCACTTTCAGAATCTCTCACTGTGATGCTTAAGATATTTGATCTCTTTTCCTTACTCAAACCTGTTGTGTTCTTTTCAGGTAATCTAAATCTGACTCTCCAAGCTCCTGGGTTCATCTCATTCCTAGAAAGTGTCCTCTTCTGAGACACACATTATGCATTTCAAATTGGAAGACATGATCTTATCGTGATGGGACTAATTATTGAAGAGTTAGGAAGAGAGACAGATGAGCAAGCTTGTGTTTACTTGTTTATCTTGAGGAAGGGTCTCGCTTGGCTGTCTGAGCTGCTCTTCCGCTCTTCGGCTCAGATGATCTTCCCGTTTCAGCTTCGTGAGTAGCTGGGACTCTAGCCGTACCCCCAGGTTATTTATTTATTTATCTATTTATTTATTTATTGACTTGCGAATAGTTTTGTTTGTTTAATGTCATCTGAAAAGAATTTTCTACAAAGAAGTGAGACACAAGGAAGCATTGGTTCAGCACTGATGAATCCACACAGTTAGGACTGGGAAAGGAGTAGGCCACCTAAACATTCTTAAAAATTGGAACCTACAAACAAAATAATCTGATAAAATCTATTACTACTTCTGAAGAGTTAGGAGATTCTTGCCTTTTTCCTTGAATGAGAGAGCTCCAGCCAGGTGTTCAAGGGTTCCTCATAGGCATGGAAGGAAAGGAGGTGATAGCCTGACTGGTCCCCGTGTTGGTTAAGTATGCTCCCCAGCCCACATGTCAGAGCATCGTACTGAAGCAGGCCTGTGACCGCGTCACCTGCAGGGAGATGGCAGTTGTCAGTAACCACGCCCTCCAGCACCGTCCCTTAGGGAAGCCTAGTAACGTTACAGTGATTGCAAATCTGATCTAAGCTTATAAGAAAATGGCTGATGGGGCAAAAGAACTTCTTCTTCTTTTTCTTTTTTTTTTTTTTTGTAAATTAGTGATTTGATTCATTTAGTGTACTTCAAAAGGTGCAATGCGTTTTTTCATTTGTCAATGAAAGAAGTTAGAAACTCACCCCCAAATCAGCAAACGGCAAACAAACACCCGTGAAGGCCACAGTCACGCACGTAGTGCGTCCTAGAAAGGGGGCGGGACAACCTCCATCCACTTTCTTGAGTTTCACCCAAGTCCGGATCCACTCAAGGGTGGAGAGAGACGGCAGCTTCCAAGGAGCGTGTTATTAAACAAGGCATCTACGCGCCTTCCTAAGAGCTGGGGGGGACACATTTGTAGGATGTGGAAATAACCTCCTTAAGAGCTGTCCATTGGTTAACAACTTTGAAAAAACAAGACTAAGAACCCCACGCACACTCCAAAAGGAGAGAAGGGCTGGGGGCGAGAGGGGACCTAAGATGCCCAGATAACTCTCCAAAAGAAGCATGACAACCCAGATTAGTCTGGTACAAGTCACCACAGCATGCCTTGCCTTCAAACAAAACAAAATGGCGGTGGGCTTTTGTTGTTGTTTTAAAAACAAGGAAACAAAAACTAGCACTTATCACTTTTCAGACAATACACAATTATTCAAAACTAACTTGCTGGAAGGGGGACCATACCAAAGGGTGCGTGTGGGGAGGTTCAGGGCATCTGTCATTATTGCAGAAATGACTTTTGATTTTTAACCCTTAGTTTGATTAGACATTGCCGTTAGTGTGATGACAGCAGCGGCTGTGTGGAAAGGCTCTGGAAAGGCCTGGCGTGGCAGCACACACCTGAGACTGCAGGACAGCCAAGAGTGCTCCACCACACAGCTCCTTAGGCCTTTCTGTGTGAAGGCGGAGCCTTCGCTTACTGCCTTCCAATCCTGGGCCAGCTCTTCAGCAGTCCCTCAGTGATAGGCTTCTGTCTGTTCTTAGCAAGTTTCCCAATAGTAGAGGGGATATCTCTGAGATCAGTTTGGGTTCCAACAAGTATGAAAGGAGTCTTTGGAGAGTCGTGAGCTATCTCAGGTCCCTGCTTTTCTTTCACATTTTCAAATGAGGATGGAGAAACCACTGGAAAACATACTAGAAAAATGTTTGTTTGTGGGTGACTCAGCGGCTGCAGTCTGTCATGATCCACTTGCCCTGCAGTATCAAAAAGTCCAAGAGCACATGGCTCTCTACCAGTCCTAACTGTGACTGCACAGCTGTTAAAACAGCTGGACCCGCTCCAGCGGAGACTTGTTTGTTGTATAAGCTATCAGGAGGCAGGTTCTGTCATCATCTCCATCGCCGGCAACAACGCACTCAGTGTCTGCGCTCTGGAAATAGTTTTGTGTCCACTTTTAATATTTCAGATTAGATGTTGACCTCAGCTTCTCCATCAGGGCATTGGCAGAATTCCCCAGATAATTTATAAACATTTAAAATGAGCAGCCAACATGGAGGGCGAGGCAGGAGGATCACTAGGAAATGGAAAGGACCCAGTGTCCTCCAGCTGCTGAGTGGGTAGTAAAATGCAGCACATCCTCTGACTTCCGTGGCCCCAGGCACGCAAACATACATGTAGTCTGAATCCAGCCTGCACAAACATACATGTAGTCTGAATCCAGCCTGCGCAGCATAGCAAGGCCCCATCTTCAAAAACAAACAGAAATAAATAACCCCACTCAAATTCTCTAGCAAACCATCACCATCTAATAATGTTGTTCACAAACAAACAAACACAAAGAAGCCTCTCTGTCACTCCGGGTCAGTAGGCCTTTTCTGGATAATTCCGTGCAGCATTTGCGCATCCATCCTAGGGTAGGTGGTGTTTGCTGCAGCTGAGTTAGGTGGGAGAGTCAGGTGTCTCTACAGCCCTCCGGTCCCTTTTGGCTGTCAATGGACGGCAAAGGCTTTGCATGTCTTAAACCCTTGGAAGGGTCTGGCACAGGCCCCTCCAGATGTCTCTCATCCCTGTCTTGGCCGCAGGAGACGTTTGCTTGCTTCTCAGTTGTAAGGCCGATGTGTTATCCCAGCAGAGGTGGTTGGTTCTGTCCTTTGAAAGCAGGAGCATTTGGGGCCACAGCACAGTGACTGGTGTGTGCAGGCTTCCTTCACGGGAGCCATGGACAGCCCCTGCCTGGGCACACTGTGCTGGTCACTCTCTGTGCACAGGACGGTGGGTGGAGGCCGTGCAGCTTGCAAAGGTGCTTCAGACAGTGAAGCTCTGGCTGGACATTTTTTTCAGTAACTGTCACTCCTGACTTCCATGCTAAAGCACAAGTTTAGCTCATGAATGGAGAGACACAGTGATCTCTGTGCTTGGGGTAGAGAATATACAAACAGGCTTTCCTCTTTCCTCTTTGGCCTCTGATTTGTTTTAAAATGAAAAGTTTTAAATAGTATAAAGGAATTAAAGCTCTATTGCAATGCACCCATTTTATTTTTCCATGTGACAGTTACACACGTACTTATGATAAGATGTGCCCATGAAATGTGTTTGCTGTAAATGTTTTGCTTCCATGATTCTTTTTTTTTTTTTTAAAAAAAAAGAAAGTAAATGAATATTGGTGAAATGCCCCAGACAAATGGCTTGGGAAACTCCAGCATGGGAACGCAGTGACATCACAGCCCTTTCAGCAGTGACCCAGACACACTGGGCTCTGACTTCGGCCATCAGAAATCCTCAGACACCGCAGGGCACCCTGCCATGGGCTTCCCAGGAGCACCTGTGTCACAGTTTCCTCAAATAGCTGTTTAACCTCAGACAGCTCAGAGAGTGGAGCGGGGTGGGGCTGCACCCAGAGGAGGGCGGGCAAGTGCCCGGGCTCTAAACCCAGCAGCTGTCGGGAAGGTTCACACAAGGCCAGCTCACAGCGTTGCCTGTTGCTCGTCTGTCCTTCTGTGTCGTGACTCTGTAGGGTTCAGCGGTCTCTTCGGTATGAGGTATCTAAGGTCATGAGTCTTCCTTCCTTCCTTCCTTGGATGCACTAAAGGATCCCGACTCTGCCCAAGCATAGACAAGCTGACCTCCTCTTCCTCGTCCACTTGAGGTGGAAGTGAAGTACTGGAAAAGTCATTTGCACAGCGCGTCTGGCTTTGGCTCCCCTAGTGCCGTCTTCTTCAGTCCTTTTCCCCCATAGCAATGCATTTCCACTGTTATGTTATTAAATATAGGTCACACTACAGTATGCCCTGTGCTTTGGGGGAAAATGGTAGGTGGGACTTGGCCTTTTCCAAGCAAAGGTCATTTAACTCGGTATGAAGAAAGAATCAGGAATATTCCAACTTTTTTGTATCTTTGTTTTGTTTCTTAATGTTCTGAATGTATGGTATTAAATTTGTGGTGCATACAGCATTTATGTGACTCTTTGAGTCAGTCACAACAGAAGCAGGAGGACACAGTTGAAGGACACATCAGGATAGACTATGAAACCTTACGATTTAATTCTCATCTTCACTAATTATTTTGTAGTTTTTTTACTTTGTTTGAATTACTACATGTTTACTTATTTATAATTTTAATTTAGGCTTTTCATACTTATTTATTTAATTTTTGGATCATTTGCTTTTGATATTGTTTCTTAACATGAAACTGAGTAAAAAATTAAATCTGTACAATAATATATTTTTGCATATTTACTTAATAGTAATTCTTTGAATTTTTATTAGTTTTTTTCTCTGAAAATTCTAATTTTGATGATATTTCTCATTTCAGGTGCCTTGTTAATAAAACTATATTAAGATGATGCTACAAAATTATTTTTGCTTTGCTTTTCTCAGACCTTGAGAAAACTAAAAACAAACCTAAAATCTAAATATTGGCTTATTAGTAGTGGTATGGGATTGGTACGGTTGGCACCACATGGGGATTGACGCAGGGATTTCTGCTATGAACAGGTGAACACAAAGTCTGCTCCCCCGCCCTCAGTGAGCTGAGCATGCTCGCCCTCGGGAGAGGAGCCAAGGGCTCAGTCTCCTCACTTAGTTTTCCCTCTCCCTGCAGGTCTGTTTTTTCAGGTGCCGTCTTCTCTGCTGCTCTGGCCTCCTCCTGTTAACTTTCAAATTTTAAACTAGAATTTTAATTTTTTTTAAATTATTATTTATTATATTGAGGCAAGATCTAGCCATGTAGCCCTGGCTGTCCTGGAACCACAATGTAGACCAGGCTGGCCTTGAACTCACAGAGATCCTCCTACCTCTGCCTCCCAAGTGCTGGGGTTAAAGGCGTGTGCCACATACCCAGCTTAACTTGAATTTTGTTTTTGAACACATTTGCCATCCCTCCTCTGGCAAAGCCAGGGTCTCCAAATGACCCTTCTGTGAAGCCTAGAAGTTGCTTCTCCCCTTGTGGGACCGGCCTCTTTCTTTGAGTGTGTCTCATCCCATGGAGCAGATCCACACACAGCGCATGCTCTGCTAGCTTCTCAGATTTCTGCAAATCCAAATCCACACGCTGATCTTAAACACCTGGAGCCCCGCCGTTCCCCTGTCCACCCTCTGAGAACCTACAGACTTTAGGAAAACCTTCCTGCTCACACGGCTGTGTGACTGATGAGCATTCATTGTCCTCGGTGACCACTCAGTGGACACAGTGTCCAGTGGGACCCCTACGTGTCAGAATGGCTCGGAGGTGTGCCACTAAGAGTTTGGTTCCGGTGTTTGTCATCCAGTATTTGAAACTAATTAATAAAAAGAGGTTTTCAGTCATTGTCATCTTTCAATGCTGCTTTCTGCACTGCTGTCTGCTGTGTTTGTGTGTGAGCTGTGATGTCGGGATAGACGTTTAGAGAGCCGGCTGTCGGTGGCGTCTCCTGTGGCTTGCTGTGGATGTGACATGTGCTTCCCGCGGCTACAGGGACAGCATGCCACCCCCCTCCCCCCGAGCTGACAGTAATCTGTGTTCGGACTTTCCTCCGGAAGTCACATGTTGGCCACTTGATATTTTGTTTTCTGTGCAATATACTAATAAATTTAAGGTTGATGTAGTAAATGTGTGTAGTTTTCCAATTAATCATTTTAATAAATATTTATGTGATGCTGTTGCGTAATGGAAGTTCTGTATGGTGAATTTTCTAGATCGTGAGTCTTGTTTGATGATACCCCAAAAGCCATTTCCTGAATTATTGGACTTTAGTTTTTAGAGACCTTTTAGGAAAACAGGAGCAGACATGGTTCTTCCAGGCCCCGTCCTCCCGCACCAACACCCCAGCTCCCCTAGACTAGCATCCCGCACTGGTGTGCTCCGCGTGCTCTGGCATGCAAGTGCATAGCTTGCAATGGGCTTCGGTCTGCATAGTGTTACGGATTTTGACAAGAGTACAATGCACGTACCTACCACACCTGTTTCATGGACAATCGTTTCGCTGCCCTGAAAAGCCCATGGGCCACCTGCTCTGCATTTTCCCTGCCACCTCCCAGACCCTCCAGCCATGCTCCTGTCTCTGTAGTTTCACCTTTTCCACCTCTCAGTCTAGTTGAACCAGAACACGTAGCTTTTTAGACTTCTGTGCATCACCCGCGAATCAGCTGCACCTTTAACTTTTCTCTGTTTGTACCGAAAGATGTCTCATGACTTCTAACTTCTGCAGTTTATGAATAAAATGGCTGTAAACCATGCTTCATATTTACAGTGTTCACATGTGGGGATTTGTGTGAGGAGGTACTAAGTTCTTCAGCTCCTTCGAGTAAATACCTCCAGTTGTGCTCCCTGAGCAGCCTAAGACAAGTTTCTAAGAAACGACAGCACTGTCTTCCTGTGTGGCCAAGGCCCTCTTGCATGTGTACTAGCAGAGAATGTGTGATCCCCTTGCTCCAAACCCTTACCAGCAATTGGTGGTGGTGGTGGTGTGGATTTCACCACTATGGTGAGTGTGTAATAGCTGCTTTAATTCACTTGTTCCCAGCCACAACTGATGGTGAGCATCTTTTCATATGCTCATTAATTTGAAAACTACTATTTTATTTTTATGTATAGAGTTTTGTCTGTGTTTTCTGTATGTGTAGTACATTCATACACCCCTGCAGAGGCCAGAAGAGGGTGTTGGATCCCCTAGAACTGGAGTTCTGGATGATTGTGATCCACCATGTGGGTGCTGAGAATTGGAAACTAAGTCCTCTGGGAGAGCAACCAGGGCTCTTCACAGCTGAGCCATCTCTACGGCCCCCACCCAGTTATTTTAATGAGATTTAATTGGAGCCTAGACATAACACACTGTTGCTCTGGGTTCCTAAGTGAGAGATTTAATTTTTTTCTTTTCTTCGTGGTAGAGAATTAGGGGCTCCAAACACCTCTTTGGCATTTGTTTTTCAAATGTTGCTACCACTCTGTAGCACGAGTGACCTCTCTTCCTCCGCTGAGAATCATGGCAGCCGAGTACAAGCTGTCTGGGGACAGGGAAGAGGGGAGTTCTGGTGTGTGAGCTGTGTTGTCTCCCTTCCTTGGATTCTCTGTGATTCTTCCTAGTGGTTCGTGTTCATCCTGACAGGATCTGCCGTCACCTAGGAGACAAGCCTCTGGCACACCCATGAGGAATGGTGGAGATTGAGGTTAGCTTCTGGGGATGTCTGAGACATTGTGTCTTCACTGTGGGCTGGACCCGTCCTGGCTGGGATCCTGGGTTCCAGCAGATGGAGAGAGTGAGTGGCAAACATGCACTGGCAGGCATGTGTCTTTCCCTGCGTTCTGGTTGAGGATACCATGTGACCCATCGCATGGCATTCCTGCCACCCTGTCTCGTCACTGTGAAGGACTGTACTTTTGAGCTGTAAGCCAGACTCAACTTTTCTCCTTTAAGTGACTTTTGCCAGAGTATTTTTACTGAAGTCTCAGAAGAGAAACCAAGACACTTGGTTTCCAGAAGAGCTCTGGGGAGACCAAGCATGAAGCCGGGGTTTGCCTGCAGCTACATTGCCGCACACAGGGTCGTACCTGGAAGCAGATTAGTTTACTTCCTGTGACCACAAGTGACCTTTTGTCCTTCTGGTAAGTGATGCCAAACTAGAAGAGGCCAGGGAGGACCAGCTTGTCCCACTCTGCCCCATAAGCCCTTTGCCCTTTGTCCAGGGCTGAGGGCCAGAGAAACCTGGAGCTGTGGGGGCAGATTGGGGGCAGAGTGGTGTTCACTGCTGGGGTTTCCCCAGAGAAACCAGGAGTTAATCAAGAAACCAAGAAAGCTGAGCGTGGCCTGGTCCTCTCGCCCCCCCCCCCCCATCCTTTATTTCCTTTCCAGTGAACAGACAGAGGAACGGGGATCACCTGCCTCCCTTGGCTGGCTCCAGCTCTCACTCCTCACGGCGCTTGCTCCTCCGCACCCCACACAGGTGGGAAAGGAAGCAATCAAACCTCTCCCGATATTACCTTCTGTGGATGTGCCGAGGGAGCGGCTCATCATCACTCAGAGCTGAAGTCAGGGGCCAGTGACGGCGCAAACATGTCTCTCTGGGCTGAAAAGCTGGCCAGAGATTTTAAGTGATCTTTTGATCTAGGAACCGATGCGTGTGCACTTCTCACCGCGAAGCGGTCTGCCAAAGGTAGGCAGCAAGGCAACAAGGTAGAGAGCAAAGCGCGTGCTATATGTGCAGCTAGAGTATTCCTTGTACAGTGTGCTGGGGGCCGGAAGCACTTAGGAGTCTGGGACTTAGGAGTATGTGTGTATATCTTAGGTCTGGGACTAAAGTCTAAACCCAGATCCTTTGTGTTGTACATATTTTCTAGATGGAGACTGAAGGTAATCTTGCAGCTTACAGTCCTTTTACTATACCTTTGTTTAAGCCGTGCCCTGTCATGAGGCTTGATGGGGTGGGCTCTGCTTGTGGCATCTTGTCTAGCATTCTGATTCTGGAGCATTTTGGATTGGGGATGCCACGATGATTCGCTCAGGTTGACAATAGTTAAGAAATACAAGACACTGGCCTTGAAGAACCGAAGATGCCATCTGCAATGCTGAGTCTCTTCGAGATACGTTTATTGTCATCAGATTTCTGCTCAGCCTCCTGCAGACGAGGAGGCTGTAGGGCAACCGGCTGAAGGTACATGGCGCTCATGCAGGAGGACTGGAACCTAGCCTAGCTCAGGTTAGGCTCTGGATTACTCTGAGCAAAGCCAATACACAATAGATACTCGCCAAGTTTGCCCTGCTTTCTGAGATTCTTAACCACTCACCTTCCCCTACCGGCAGGGCTCTTTGACCCAGACGTT